TTGTATATATTTTAGGTAGCATTATTTATTTGAATACAGTGTTTTTTTAAGCACTTTATATGTGCAGTTTAAAGTTGTAAAGTAACTAGGAGCTAAACCTGGTTGGTGAAAAAAATTCCTTCTGAAATGTAGTGGAAGAGAAGTCCAGTTTTAGATTGGTGTTGGTTCAAATTGTGGTCATTTCAGAGGCTTATTTTGTGGCTCTGTTGAATTGCATTGTGTTACACAGTGAGAAGTTAATATTTATATTCACTGAGTCTAAAAAATGTCAAAGACCAAAACAGTTCAATCAAAAACTTGGACATTTTTCTCTCTTTTCAGATCTTCTTGTATTTCCTCCTGATGATGTTTGGTTTGTGATCACACACCTGCACAAGTACAGCTGAACTGCTTTTCATCAGCACTGTGAAGAGCCTCTTCCTGATGATGTGAATCTGTGTCTGCAACATACACACATTCTCAGAAAGTGTGGTCAGAAACATACAGCAAGATGTCCATCACCAACACACCCACAAGCAATGATGCCTGCCTGAGCATTGTGCACAGTCTGATGTGTCACAGACAGGGCGGTGAGAGCGAGACTTTTGCCAAGCGGGCCATCGAGAGCCTGGTGAAGAAGCTGAAGGAGAAAAAAGATGAGCTTGACTCCCTCATCACAGCTATCACCACCAATGGGGCCCACCCCAGCAAGTGTGTGACCATTCAGAGGACACTTGATGGACGGCTGCAGGTAGGACAGTACAGCAATAATTCACCTATATGGATCATTTCTTTAATACACACAGGAAGCCAGTTTGTATCAGTGTCAAATACATCTGTTAATGTTTGGAGATTTTTTTCTTTTACACCTACAATAAACTATCCAGTCATCAGATTCAGTTGTTTGTCAGTTAAGTTACATTGAAACATGACAGTAAGTTATTCAGCATAAGATCTAGGCCTGAAACTGTTTTAATACTACATTTGTAAGGCAAGTGGGTTTACAAATTAACTCCCTGTATCCCTGTCTCTGTGTTGTTGATTTTCCCAGGTGGCAGGACGTAAAGGCTTCCCTCATGTAATCTATGCCCGGCTGTGGCGCTGGCCTGACCTGCATAAGAATGAACTGAAGCACGTCAAATACTGCCAGTTTGCCTTTGACCTGAAGTGTGACAGTGTGTGTGTCAACCCCTATCACTATGAGAGAGTGGTGTCTCCTGGCATAGGTGAGTAATGGGGGAATAACACCCCTCTGTTCTCAAGCCACAAACAAAAGAAACTGTTAAAAAAAAAAAACTAGAATGACAGTTTCAAAGTTCCAGTTCTGTGTTTGTTAAAGCTTACTGTAGTCAATTGAGACCCAAAGCTGCCTTGAAAGGAGGAAGCTGACGGAAACACTGTTCAGTGAACTGTCAGCTACACAGTTTGTAGTTAATTTATTTAGTTTATACAACTATTGTGATGTGAACTCGCAACTTGAATCTCCTTAAAGCTAAAGTAGCATCACACAGTGTATGTGCCTGCTGAGTTCTTCTTCCTCTACATGCGGTTTGTTTTTTAAAGATTATCCAAGCCATAGTCGGCATCAAATGCATTTCCGGTGTTGGCACTGTCAGTATCTTTTTTTTTTTTTTTTTTCCAGACTTATCAGGACTGACTCTGACCCCTTCTGGACCCACCTCAGCATTGATGGTAAAGGATGAGTATGATTTTGATGGGCAGCACAGTCTACCCTCCATTGAGGGAGGGCACTCCATCCAGACCATCCAGCACCCTCCATCCAGCAGCTGCCCGGCCCCCTCTGAACCATTTGTGGCCCCAAACCTGCTCCCACCTGCTGAGGCCTCCACCTCTGCCTCAACATCATCTTTCCCAGCCATTGCTGCTGGATCAGCCAGTAAGATAAAGTTGTAAAATATGCCTGTGTGGGTGTGTGCAGTCAGTCTTATTGTCTCACTTTAAAAACTGACTTCACAAAGCCAGTTGATTTGGACATGTTCACCTGAAATCATTAATATTTAAGCCTTTTTTGATTATGGTTTGTGAGTTGTTACTGTGAATGTCTGCCAAGGCAACAGCGGTATATTTGAGAGTTTATGTACTTCAGCTCAGTTCAGCTATGACTCTCTTCTCATTTCCTCCTCAGGTGCCAGCTCTACCTGGTCTAGGAACAGCACCTTCACCCCTAACATACCCCACCACACCAATGGTCACCTACAGCACCACCCTCCTATGCCCCATCCAACACACTACTGTAAGTACACACTAGTACTCCAGCTGTGAGTTAATCCACCAACAAAAACTAAAACTAATGTACATGTGTCACTATAATCATGCCTTTTTCCTCAGGGCCAGTGCATAATGAGCTTGCCTTTCAGCCCCCTATATCCAACCATCCAGGTGAGATCACTCAGCCCACAAGTATATCACTGGACAGAATAGTCAGGCCTAGTGTATTGGAAAACCTGTCAGTACATTTGACAGTACAGTGCACTTTGCTCTGGAAAGTGCTGCTCTTTTGGCTTTCATCCATCCTGTCTATAAAGGCAATGAATCATGGCACCATAGCTGCTGAATTTTATTTAAACTTAAAAGTGAACTGATTTAAGTGACAGATATTGTTTTGCTTTTTCTCAACTGTGTAATCTCTCAACCACTATAAGTGAATCACATGATACAATGTCCAATTTCTGTTTCAGCCCCTGACTACTGGTGTTCTATTGCCTATTTTGAGATGGATGTTCAAGTTGGGGAAACGTTTAAAGTGCCCTCGTCTTGTCCCATTGTGACCGTGGACGGCTATGTCGATCCCTCAGGAGGAGACAGGTTCTGTCTGGGCCAGCTCAGCAATGTGCATCGCACTGAGGCTATCGAAAGAGCAAGGTAGACAATCCAAGGACCAACTGAAAGAATGCATTGAAATTTAGAATAAAGCAGCTGGTTTCAGACCACTGCCAAATGAACTCAGCAAAATGAACCAAGACCCCCTTGGGAGGTAGTTTCAGTTCAGTTTGTTTCAAGTCCACAATGCAGTTTGCTCCATCTGTGCACTGTGTACATGAAGTTCTCTGGGTTCGCTTCTAGTCTTTTTGCATGTGGGGGCAGAAACACCAGCAGTCTATTGAAATATCTAGTGTCCATCATGGAGAAATACAGAAAATAAGAAATGAGAAAATAAAGCAGCGTTAATTCTGTTCATACATTTTTAAACTTAAAAAAACAAAAACCAGCAATGGGAATAAAGTAACAGTGCTGGAAAGTGCTGGTCTTTTGACGAGCAGTATCAATAGTTGTACTGTTAAAAAGTTTTAATGATACCCGTATGAATGAGTAGTTTGGTGCAAGGAAGAAACTACTGCACTTCTCCAGATATGGAACAAAGAACACATCAAACTACAACTGTCTATAATGCACAGGCATGCTGAGGGTTGCCTTCTGTTTTCTCCAGAGGAATTATAGTATGACCAGAAAGAGGAGTGAGGCCCCATCAGAGCTGAAATGGACCAGATAGAGAACTCTTTTAGATGTACTCACAATGTGAAAACAATAAGAACTGGGTCCTTTTTCTGTTGGTCCCCTTCAAGAGGACTGACTTTGGCTCATTTAAAAGGAGCCAAGTGTGAAAACACCCTGATACCTCAAGTGTGGGTATTGGAATGGACCAAAGAATTCACGTCTGCAACTCTGGACGGGGAGGTTGTGAAAGACTTTTAGGGTGACTGTGACATGAAACATATATCGGAATCTTTTTCTGTGGAAAAATACCCACAGTGTGTTTTAGTGGGAACAATTGAACATTCCATGTGATTGTGTTACGACTCACATTGTTACTGTTTTCTTCATTCCTTACTGGTGCATTTCCTCTCTCCCAGGCTTCACATTGGTAAAGGGGTCCAGCTGGAGTGTAAAGGTGAGGGAGATGTGTGGGTGCGATGCCTCAGTGACCATGCCGTGTTTGTCCAAAGTTACTACCTGGACAGAGAGGCAGGGCGTGCCCCTGGAGACGCCGTTCACAAAATCTACCCCAGTGCTTACATTAAGGTAAGAACCTGGGCTTCACTGCACTATAACACTCACACTTCAGTGAACTGTTTGGACTGTAAAAACATAAAATGTTTCTTTGACTCTTGAGGCACTGCTGAGTGCAAGCTGCAGACATCCCTTTCAGATATTCTGCCCCTTACTGACATTTTACTTTTACTGTAGTTGTATTTCTACAGAAATGTTTACCATCTTTTCCACTCATGTCTTTAGGACCATTAGGACTAGTCATATGTGTACATCCTCACACAGCCCAGCTCTGAGTTGCTCTCTGATCAGCAGCCCGTGGTGGGATTTAGATTTCCGGTGCAGAGCGCTAATAGCTGCTGAATATTTAAAGCCCCTTGTCTCCTACCAGGTGTTTGACCTTCGTCAGTGCCACAGACAGATGCAACAGCAGGCTGCGACGGCTCAGGCAGCTGCAGCAGCCCAAGCAGCAGCTGTGGCTGGGAATATACCTGGACCTGGATCAGTAGGAGGGATAGCTCCAGCCATTAGTAAGATACACTAACTTAAAAAACTAAAAAAAGGCAGAATGAAAGAGACAGCGTGACAGTGGTTCCGGCTGCCAGTAACATTTTACTGTCAATGAGCAGAGAGTGAGTCAGCTTTGAAATGACATGAACAGAAGAGAGAAATGTTCACAGATGTTCAACCAAATGTATGTTCAAATAAAACATTTCATGAATTTATTTATTTTCAGCTCTAGTTAATAAGAATCACTGGAAACACTGAGTTTAAGGTTAATATAATAAAATGAAATATTTCCCCAGATTGGTATGATTTAGCACATTGGTGTTGAGTTTGTCACACACACTGTACACAGCATCGTACTGATCTGAGAGCTCCTCCTTCTGCTCCTGTCCCCTCAGGTCTGTCTGCAGCGGCCGGTATCGGGGTAGATGACCTCCGGAGGCTGTGTATTCTCAGGATGAGCTTTGTTAAAGGCTGGGGGCCCGACTACCCCCGCCAAAGCATCAAGGAGACGCCCTGCTGGATCGAGATCCACCTGCACAGAGCTCTTCAGTTACTGGATGAGGTTCTACACACTATGCCTATAGCAGACCCGCAGCCTCTGGACTGAGGTCTTTATAGCTGCAACACCCAGTGGCAGTGGACAGTCTTCTTCAATGAACTGTTTTGGGTGGAGAAGTCTGTGAACCAGCTGTGAAGCTGTCCCACATGAAAAATATCCTTTCAGGTGTGTGTTGAGGCACCTCTGTGCACTGTGGCTCCTACTTTGTGACAATAAAATGAGTCAAAGCCATATATTAAAGATATGTTTATCTATATTTTTGATAGATGGCTTTGATTTATTATGACTGGAATTGTAGAACTAGAACAAAATGTTGCAGATCACTACAATTATACATCACCAAACATGCACGTCGATGACCAGCAGATCCTATGAAACTGGAATGTACACTGACTCTCAGCATCCCTGGAGCCCACCAACTGCTGACAGAGTCATTGAACGATACAATAACATCTGAGTGCTGTACACAGAGGCTGTAGTACTCGGCGCCTGTTTTCTGTCTTGTCACTTATATTCGAGCAGCAGACCACTCTACACTTTGGATGACAAGTGCAGTGAACTGTCAGGCTGGACAAAAAACTGCCTGGATCACTGCTCAGCATCATGCCGATCGCTGCCTCTCAGCCGCTACACGGCCGGGGACCAACCAGCCGGATCAGGTCCCACTAGGCATTCACAGCCATCCACCAGTAACACAAAGAAAGAACCATGCCTAAAGTCTTGTCTCAGCCTCTGAACTGAAACAAATCAGGTCTATGGACCTTTCTGGGTTAAGTATTGTCAAATTACGGGTATGGACGTTTAAAAGATAGTTCAATGCCTGGTGGGTGTCCTCTGACAAATCCTTTTCCTCGTTCTCTGTTAAACAAGATGTGGAGCAATGAGCAAAATGCCCGATTGAGGCTTTGGACCAAACTAATAACCTCACTTCTACACTAAGGCAGGTTTTTAGTGGTGTCATTACATCTTGACATACAAAGTTAAATTACCCATTGGTGATACAGTATAGTTATGATTTGCTGTGATTCTCTCATTTCTCACACAAAAAACCACGGGTGAGGACAAGATGCGCATTCAGCTGCTCCTACATCATTGGTCACTTTGCACGTGTTTCACATAGGGTTACAGTTTTGGAAAATGCCCTCTTTTATGCTGCCATAAAGAATGAATCTCATATGCCTGCAGTGACCTCCTTCAATTTTCCCACTTTCATGCTGAGAGCAGAAAAGTGAACAGCTGGTTCAGTAAGAAAGCACAGAAGAGGCTAACAGTTGATCTTTAGATGTATAAGATTTACATAATCCCAGTCCTGGATCTGTTATTTAAACAACAGATCCATGATCCTAGTACATGGAACATGGTTTATCAGTGTTTTAGCGAACCAAAAAACAAATCTAGAGAGCCAGCGGTCCAAGCAGCTGCTGGACTTTGCCCATATTGCGAATTTTTAAGGTAATTAGGTTTATTTGTATTCATTTTAATCTCCAAGCAGTCTCTCCACACTAGTTAAAAATTACTGTACTTCCATATCTTATGACTTGCAGCCCACTCATATACTACAGGTCTGTTGTGTATAGTTTACTGATAAAGAGGAGAGAACTGAAGACTGTTTCGCAGCAATACTGAAATATTTTCTTAGCTTTATTTTTGTTACTTTTACTCATTTATTTCCTTGTTATTATTAGCACTTTACTTTTTCTTGTTTTTAATTCAGTAACTGGTTTTGAGGTGGTTGTCCTGCGATATGAATTATAAGGGAGTGAACTGGTTTGTTGATATTTTATGTAGAATTGTGAGCAGAGGCAGCATTGTTCTGAAAATGTTCACTTTTGCCTGTTCACTCTGGCATTTACACACATCTGTGGGGTTTTTTTATTTGCATTTGTTTGTTTTCTTGTTAATCCATGTAAATAACTTTGTTTCTGAAATGCATGTCAATGTTTGCATGAATTTTAGTGTCAAATAGATCGCATTTTCTCTCTACCCTTTTTGTGCACTGTCTTTGCACTACACAGCGAAACTTGGCTGTCTTAGTTGTATTCTGCTGATTTAAGAACCAGCATTACAGGCACATGAAGGGAAGCTACATAATCAAAACTAAAGCAAAATGATCCAGGTTAATTATACAAACTCTGTTTTAGCAGCCACAGTCCTAAAGAAGGAAACTTGTCCCTCAAGCTTCAGTGAAATAAGTAGAAGCATGATGCTCTCTGTTGCAGGGGGTGAAACAAGTCAAGGGAGTTTGACACAAATAATTTCCAGGCTTTTCATCACTTATGAATACACATTTTTATTTACTCTCCTCATGTTGAGACCTTCATTTGCTCATTATTTTTCCAGCAGATTGCCATACAGTATATGGTGTCTACTTGTATGTTAACATAGCTCCAGTGTATGACGAGGAGGATTTAAATGATTTGTACTTATGCCCATAAAGAGGTGTTTTGTTTTTTGTTTAGTTTTTTTACATGACTGTTTTGCTGAGCTATAAAGCTGATGTGGAAAAAGACAGATTGTTCAAGGTTTGGTTGAAATCTGCAGTGGTTTTGTTACAGGGAATGATCAGTTTTGCTATCAAGTTGACTAAGCAATGGGTTGTTTATTTCACTATGATCTGAAAATCATTGTCTTATATCAGGTAGAAACAAATAGCCACAGTTTGAAGTGTATTCACATAAATATCCACCTGATTGATCGAATGGGAGGAAATTGGATATTTTATGACGATGCATTACTAAAAGACCTGAACTCCATCTGGAGAAATAATCGGTTATGTTCTGTTATGCTTTAAGGTGGACAGATGTTTTTATATTACTTGCAGTTATTGTAGGAGCCTAAAGACACAGCTCAGATGAGTTGATGTTATCTGAGTCAATTAAACGAGCTGATATTCTCTAACTGGTAACCTGTTTATTATCTCAATAAGGCGAGTCTTGTCTGTCAACAAAAAAATGAATAAAAAAATCATATTTCGTAACTCATAAAGCCACAAAACATATCAAAATCTCTAATTACTATGAAATTGTATTGTGCAGTGATAGCTGGTGGTGACACACCTGTCTTCTTAGAGGTTCATGCACAGACATCTTTCTCTACTTACCCTTCCTGCCTCAGGTTCACCTGTTTGTGGAATATCTATAAAACAAACATTATTTGGACTGTGACAAGAGCATCAGATATGTTACAGGCTATTCATTAAATGCAGAATGAATAGTCCAACACTAACAGACCACTACATGTGATGTACACTAACTGGCCACTTTAGGTACACCTGTACCAATTGCATGCACTTCAATACAATACTTCTGCCCTAACATCCATCTATGAAGTGCAAAATGTTTAATTTTTTTGGTGAAATTGTCAAATGTATAAATTCAGCTGTATGTTTATTATTGAAATTATAGTTTAAAGTGGTTCTCTGCTAGACTATATTATTCAAATAAATAATCTGACCCTCATGTACAGTATGTAGCTGGGGAAGACAAAAATATAGGGACATTTAATTGTTTCCTTAAGGTTTTTGCATTGTTTTTGGTTTAATAATTGCAACTTCTGATAACATGAGCTGTAATGCCTGGAGAATCCTTGAATTTTGTGGTTGCTTTGACAACTCCTGGAGGGTAATACCACAAGCTCTGCAGACTGGTAACTTCATGTTTTTTTTTTAAAGAGATTAACATGTCTTAATCTATGACGACTATATGGAAATACAAGTATACATTGTGGCAGTAAAACAAACTGATGAAAAAGCAGCAGGAACCCAAGATACAGTATTTAATAACATGATTTCTAGTTAAGACAAATTTATCAGGAGAAGAAATAAGTTTCATGATGCATGCTTGTTTTTAACTAAGAAATACATTACCAAATTTTTGAAGTACTTTGTATACAGGTCATTAATACTACATAAGGCCAAAGTAGTGGAGTGACAGCCAGCAGCAGCCTAACTTCAATGTTTATCACAGTAAATCCAACTTAATGGCAGCCATCACCACCTCAACTGATGGCTCTAACATTCTGAGGCATTCAGTGACTTGACCAAGGACACTTCGACACATGCTCTACCGGCACCGAGATTAAAACCTTCAACCTTATGGTTGGGAGACGACTGCCCTACCCACTGCACCACTGCTAAACACATCTCCACACCAGCGATAATACTTACAGCATGGAAACGAACAATGTACGTGAGGTGTGGAGAGGTCTGAAACATCTTGGGCCATGAAAAAAATGGGGATGGTCACCAGGTCGCAGGTGACCAGGCCTGGGCAAACGAATTGAATCGTTTCTTTAATAGATTTGACTCCAACCAGTCCTCAGTGAAGTGGTCCTGTACATGTTTAATCTGAGTCTTAGCCTGGAGAGAGTCCTGGCTCTGTAGAAGACATCCCGTGTTGTCCTGGTTCCTAAAATATCTCATCCTAAGGGGCCAAACCACTACAAACCTGTTGCCCTGAACCCCCACCTGATGAAGACCATGGAAAGGATTGACCTCGGCCACCTCCATGCCCAAGTGAGCTCGGCACTCAACCCGTTGCAGTTTGCATATCGACCTGGCATCGGGATAGATGGCACTATTATCTACATGCTGCATGGAGCCCTAGCTCACCTGGAGTATTTACATACTGTAAAGGGCCAATTTTTACTCATAACTGAGGCATTGTCCCTGCACAGCTGAGTTCCTTCCTCTTACTTCAATACAAAGCCTGTTGCCTTAAGACATTCAGCCCACAGTATAATCTTGCTATGTTTTAAAGTTAAACTCAGTAATAATACATGTCCATTATGGTGCAAACCTGTATATTGACAGGCTTTCATAGCATCACTGCTCTCATCACAGACATTAAGGCAAATACACCCAAACTGGGTGTCGACAAGCCTTTTGAGTCATCTGTCTCTGCCAGGCTCCCTCCCAAGAACCCAAATGCACCCCCGGCTGGTATCGCGTCTACCGAGCAAACCAGGACCAACGACAACCATGAAACTGCCTAAGGTATCCCTGCATCAATGGCTGAATGCTTTGCAGGAGTGGGATAAATTTCGGTGTCTGACGTCACACACCTGTAACAGGAAGAAGCAAACGATTGTTAATAGTTATATCTTTGTATCTTTGGATGACAGTATTGTATTCTTCGTGTTGAATAAGGTTGAAAAAAAAACCGATTGTTAACAGCTCACTAAAACAAATCCTTTTTCTTAAAGAATTGTTCCAGGACTTACCGAACACTCAAAGCTCCGTTTTCCTACAGACACAGCACAGCCTTAAGTTGAACGTAAATTTTACAGGGTTTGTTGTTGCCTCAGGATTTGTTTGGTAACTTTCTGGCGCCAAACTAAGGTATTTGAATCAACGCGGGAGAGAACCCGATGCTCAGGCTGCGATTACAGCCACTGACACAGAGATCTACCAGCTGCTTGGAGGACTCAGCAAACAGCTGCACTGGTCGCTCTCAGAGTTCAAAAGGCTTGCGGCCCTTATTGATGATTGGATGATTGGATGATTGGTCTGCAGGACCACCCATCCACCCACTTCCTTTCCCGCCACCGATAATTGGTCTGGGTAGGTTTTGCCCATACCGGTTGTTACATAATGGCAAGAGCAGGGAAATCCCTTTGGTTAAAGGTACAGGCTGTACCTGAGGCGGCGACATGACACAGATCTTCATCAGCTGATAATAGTATTTCCAGAAAAGAGGCGATTCCTTCGTATTAAGCGCCAGGATGTCTCTAATCCAATTGTGATTTTACACAGTCCAGGTCAAGGAATGAATTTTCAAGCTCAGCCTGATACAGATGTCCTCTCTGCAGAGTTTCTGATTCATATTCAAAAGTTTTAGGCTGCTGGGAGGATATGGTGTCCACATTTTCTGACCACAAACAGGCTGCTGTTCACTGCTCTGTCAGGCTCTAGTCAGTTATTTGTTTCAGTCATTCTTTTTTCATTAAAAATGAATTTGCAGTTGCAACATTAGCTATTTCCATCTTCACCAGTGGTGTTTGCTTTGGTGTTTTATGGCATGTGATAGTAAAACTGAGTAGGCCTGTTTAAAACAGTCCAGTGATCCTTGTGGGACTGGCTGCTGACTGCTAAATGTTCACGTTTTCTTGATGAAAACGTGTCTTCACTTGATGATCCAAGGGGAAGAGGAGCAATAGATCACACTTGATAATGATATAGTTTTATTATAATAAATTATATATTTCTCACTTCTCTTACATTGAAA